ACAAAATAAGAAGTCAGCTCAATGATTTAGGGAGTTCAAAATTAACCTTAAAATTCTTATTTCTAAGCAATTTAAATGAAAATTCTAAATCTAACACCATTGGCAGGCAATTTCAAAGAAGGCATAAGTGGAAAAATTTCATTCAACTTAACATGGCAGATGGCTATATTCCTTGAATAAATGTATAAGCAAAGATCATAAATATGTCCAGTTCTGATTTACTATGGTCCAAATAATAAATATTTTTCTTCTTCAAACCAATCATGCTTGTGACCATTTATATATGTCCTTTCCTTTTCTTTCCTCTATGAATCAGTTAAACTTTTGACCATAAAAATCAGATCATATGGTCCTTATTCTTTAAATATGTTGTTTTTCTTACTGTCCTTTTACTGCCTTTAGGCCCCGTAGGGTTTTAAATACGAGGTGAATTGAGAAATAGAGGGAAACAAAATTTGAACAAATTAAGTTTCTTTTAGGGTGTGTTTGGTATGAAGAAACAAAATTTGAACAACATATGATCCATTGTTGTTTTGCAAATTCTATTACAAGTATCGCATAATAGTGTTTTATTCTATTCTGAGAGAAATTAATCCAAACTTTGAACAATTATGAAGAAACTAAATTTCTTCAAAAAAAAACAATTTTATGTTACATTCGAAACTTGATTAATCTAGTATTTCTTCTATTTTCAGTGTACAATTTTTAACACATCAATAACATATCCTTTTATGATGTTTGATAACGGTACATGTGATATCATGATCTTAATTTCTAACAGTAAAAGAGAAAAATGAATAAATTCGCTAATGAAAGGAACTTTATTTAAAACAAAATATAAAGAGGTCCATAATAAAGGGGAACTAATCATGCCAATTTAATTCCAAAATAATTTTTTGCAAAAATTTAAACAAGCAAAAAAGAAGGAAGATTCCAAAAAGCATCTTTCGATCCACCTTACAAACATCGAGCGAATATAAAACACATAAACTTTTCGTGAGCTTATATTAATTCTTGGATATCTTTAATGAAATTTTTAATTTCACCATTGCATATTGACCCAACCACTAAAAAATAAATAACTCTTTTTTTTTCTTTTCATATGAAAAATAAAAAACTCTTTTGGCTCCCTTTTTTATGTCTATTTGAGGACCTATGGGCTATGTTAATATTTTAGAATTTTGTCTTTTATAGCAAATAGACCTACAATACGAATTAGAGTTAAAATCTATTCATAAATAATTAATCCGTAACGATTGGTTTTTATTTTTTATTTTCATGAATGTGTCTCCCCCTCGAAAGAAAAATAATTGTACTAATAATGTGTTGGCTATTCGTTTGACAGAACCATATGGACTTAGGTACAAAAATAACATTTGTACGTGACCGTGCACATAAAACAATAATACAATGTTGGTTCTTTTCTTTTCCCTAATAATTCTTCCCAAATTAATTTAGGATTTCAAGAATTACGATCAGAGTATATTGTCCAATTTGCCACATGACCAAACAAGTGGTTTAAAACTCTTATAGGAGCATGCGACTCTTAATAAAAAATCGAAAAAAGTGTTGAAAATGCTTCTAAACTTGACGATAATTTAGGGATATATTTCATTCATGTTGTAAGATAGGGGTGTATTAAAGTTCAGTTAGTAAGGTAATTTAATATTTTTAAGGTTGTTAATAATTTGAGATAAAACTAATAATTCATATATATATTAAAAAAAAAAAAAAAACTCAGCTTAAAAGAAAAAAAAAATAATAATCAGCGCTTATCGTGGAGTAGCAAAAGCTACGCCTAATGTTCTGGATGCATTAGATGTCGAGGCACAACATCTTGCTTAGTGGTGGTGGGTGGGGTGAAAACTTATCAGCGCATAGAGTGTTTATATCAAATTAATAATAGTATAAATTTTAGGAATCACATAATTTTAATATGAAATTACAATTTATTCCTATTTAATTTGTAATTACATTAATTCCTGAAAAAGTAAAACGAACCGGATACATAATATGTAGCTCGAATACATTAAAAACTAGGTCGGATACATTATAAAATGAATGGGATACATAATATGTAGCTCGGATACATTATCAAATAAATCTGATACATAATATGTAGCTCGAATACATTAAAAACTAGCTCGGATACATTAAAAATTAGCTCGAATACATTATAAAATAATTTAAAATTAGGAGAGAAATAAAAGATTTTAGAGGTTTTTAGAAATAGAAGGAAATATTGGAAATTAGGGAAACATAAGACGTGTATTTCAGTAATTTTTCCTATATATATGATGTGTATATTTGCATACATTTTTTTTTTATATAATTATGATAATCAGGATATATTTTTACTTAATTCGATCACTTAATTATATAATTGAATTGATTTTATATAGATTTGAGTAGGTAGCTAACTATTAAATATATATTCTAGGACCTAGGTGGAAAAGTAAGCGATGAAGCCAAAAAATTTATTAAGAAGATTCAATATATATATATATCCCATAAAGAAAATTAAAAATATAAAAAAGATAAATACACAAAAAAATTTTATCAAGAAGATCCATAATGATTTAATTTTCATCAAGATTAAGATGACCCTAACCACTTTGATAAGTTGTTAGACCAATATCATGATAACATCTTGTATATATCACTTTATCCCTTTTTTTTTAGGATCAAGCCTATCCATATATAACTTGATACAATCATAATTACCTCTTAATAATTTTCATTAGTTTTATTTAGTGATAATACCTTTTACATTTGGTAATCAAAGATTAAAAGAATTTTAGGTGCAAGGTTTCAATAAATAGGAAAACTAGAAAAAAAAATTGGGTACTTCTATTTTATCAATGTAGTTAGCCTCAATCAGTGGCGGCTCAAGCTAATTAGTGGCCTAAAGCCAAAAATAAATTGGAGGCCTAAATTTTAATTGTTTTTTTTTTATATTTGAGATTCAAGTTATTTCTTTCTTTTTAATAAAAAAAGTTTTATTTTTTTATGATCTTAAACTAAATATGTATATATATACCAAAACATTTTTTAATCTAGTGGTCTTAAATATATCATGTGGAAGTTAAATTCAAAAATTGATCCATAAAAAAGAAACATTATTTAATGTTTCGAAACAAACTAAAGAAATGACAAATAAATTAGAAAATATAGTATGTTTTTTTGTTTGTTAAAAAAGGCTTATAATAATTTGGGAAAAATGTCTGAAAAATACTCCAACTTTGGCCGAAATTGTTGTTACGATACCAAACTTTATGAAGGACCTTTTACCCCCTGCACTATTTAATAGTGTATTTTAAAGGTATATATGTGCCCACGTGGACACATTACTATTTAAAATGATGAAATATTTATGATGTCTACGTCGACACATATATATACCTTTAAAATACACTATTAAATAGTACAGGGGGTAAAAGGTCCTTTCCAAAGTTTGATATTGTAACAACAATTTCGACTAAAGTTGAAATATTTTTCAAACCCTTTTCCCTAATAATTTTATTATTACTGAAAAAATAGGCTCTCTGATTTTGGGGCCTAAGGCATATGCCTCATTTTTAAAGACATTGAGCCACCCCTGGCCTCAATAAAAAAAGAAGAAGCTTAATTGGACCGGTTCTTATACTAAACCATGCTAATTTACTAAGTTATTATATGATAAATTAATGTTAAAAGATAGATAATATGTTTTTTTCAACAGCATTAACATATTCAATTAATTTCCTCAAGTGAAGTTTGGAGATAGTAAAATGTATGCATATTGAGATTGTTTTTAAAGACCATCGGAATAAATCCAAGTACAAAGAAGAAGAAAACAATGCAGAAAACATAACAACTAACAAGAAAAATAGTGGAAAACCTACAAGAAAAGAACAAAATAACAAAATAGTGCAATAATTGGAACACAATAAACAACAAACGATAAAAGATATAAAAACAAGAACTACAATAATACAACTAGTACAAAGACAAACACCAACATGCCTAAATCCTTGAAAGCAACAGAGCTTCACTACCTATTAACCTTCTACCCTAATACGCGTCATCCATACCCTTTTATCTAAGGTCATGTCCTCGAAAATATAAAGTTGCGCCATGTCTATCTAATCACTTTTCTCCAATATTTTTTCAGCCTACCTCTACCTCTGCTCGTACCTACTATAACCACCTCCCACACATCCTCATCTATGACATTTGGGCATCTCCTATTCACATGTCTAAATCATTTCATTCTCGCTTCCTTTATCTTGTCAACCACGGTGGCCACTCCCACATTCTTTATGATATCCTCATATCTAATCTTATCGTTCCTTGTATGCCCACCCATCCACCTTAATATCCTCATTTTCGCGACATGCTCTAAACATGAAAGTTCTTGACTAGCCAACACTCGTCCCTATACATTTATGCTTTAATAACTAAAAATTGTTTAATATTAAAGGACTCTGATTTATCTTTAACAATTATAATCTATAGTAACATAAATACGACTTACGAATGAACAATATAATAGAGTCAAATAAAATGAAACGGACTAAATACTTTTGTAAAAATTGTCGTATTGGGTAAAAGAATAGCTTATGCACGCGGTAGAACGAGGAGAAACACGTGACATGTAAAACAAGTAAGAGATATTTCTGAAGGCGTTTCGATGAAAACATAGTTCGGATATTTTTTAAATTTCAAAAAAATTTCACCGCCAAACATTGATTTTCAATAAATTTCAATTCTTTTAATTACCGACTAACCTTCTACCCTTATACACGTCATCCACACCATGTGTGCGTGTGTGTTTTTTTGGGCTTTTTTGGCTCTCCTTTTTTCCTCCTTGTGTAGTTAGGATTCCACTTAGAATCCACTGTCTTTCTCACCCCAAAATCTCTCCTTTACCCTAAACACAAATCTTCATTTCATTTCTCTACATAAACCTCCTCTTCTTTGAGTAGTCTCCAGCCCCCACATCACTTTTCTCCCTTTTTGTTGTTCTTGAAAAGATACATTGAGGGGTTTTTTGGTTTTGGTTTAATGGATGAGAATAGAGACCTTTTATGTACAGAAACAGAAAGTTTTGATTTTGATGATCTTGATTCTTTGACTATAGGTCAAAAGAAGAATGAAATTAATAATAAAGATTTGATCTTTGGCAAAAATGGTAGTAGATCAGAGGTTTTGATTGATTTGCCAAAGATAAGTGAAGAAAGCTTTAGCTTTATGGTGAAAAGGGAAATTGATTTTTTGCCTAAAGATGATTATTTGAAGAGATTGAGGAGTGGGGACTTGGATTTGAGTGTGAGAAGAGAGGCAATTGATTGGATTTGGAAGGTGTTTTTTTTATTGGTTTTAATTAACTCTTTTAATCAATTCAATACTATTAATCATCTATTTGTGGTTTTGACATTGATTTATTGCTTGTATTTATTTATGATGATGATTGATTGTTAAGGTTGTAAGAAGAATCTTGGTTAAACCCCACCTCAATTTAACAACTCCTGTTTGCATTAATTTGTTTTCATTCTTATTCTTATGCTAGTTTGGCAAATGCTGGAATTTTCATTGAATTCTAAAACCAATTCTTGAAATGGAGATTTCTGTTTGGTGTAACTTTCTTGGTGTTAGTAGTTTGGATAACATCAGTGGCGATCAATTGATTGATTGATTGAAATGTGATTTCTTTCTGTATGTTCACTATTTATATGATGTCTTAATCTGTTTTAAATAGGAAGAATTCTGCTATAGTGATTTTCTGATTTGAGTTTCGTGTGTTTTTGCCTTGCAGGCTTGTATGCACTTTGGATATGGGAAGCTGAATTTTTGTTTGTCGATTAATTACTTGGATCGGTTTCTGTCTCTATATGAATTGCCTGTAAGTTCATGATCTATGTTGTTCGGACTTAGAATACTGCCCGGTGTGTGTTGGATCCTCCAAAAGCTATCTGTTTAAGAGGATTCGATACTAGTGCTGCCTGCAGTATTTTTAAGGGGTCCGAACAACTTAGTTCACTATAGCATTTTGTTTCAGAGTGTTTGAGTTTGAATGCTAACTGATTGTCTGCATTCTGCTGATTTGCATTTCTTGGATATGTATAGAGAGGTAAAACTTGGGCAGTTCAATTGTTAGCTGTGGCCTGCCTATCAATTGCAGCCAAAATGGAAGAGATTCATGTTCCTTTGATTGTTGATTTGCAGGTGACAAATAGTTTCGTTTGTTCCTTACCTATGTTGCTCGGACCCTTCAAAAAATGCCATCAGGTGCGTGTTGGATCCTCCAAAAGTAGTACATTGTTTGAGGATCCAACACGGGTGTGGCAACATATTTGGAGAGTCTGAGCAACATAAAGTTCTTTACACGTTTGTCATGTTAACAATTTATATATATTCTTGAACTAGATTGTGTAGTATAATCTAGAGTTTATGGAACAGGTTGGAAATCCTAAGTTTGTATTTGAAGGCAAAACTATACAAAGAATGGAACTTTTGGTACTAACCACATTGAAGTGGAGAATGCTAGCTTATACACCTTGCACATTCATTGATTATTTTGTAAGAAAGATGAATGGCGATCAAATCCCATCGGAGCGTTTGATTTCTAAAGCAATGCAATTGATGTTAAGCTCCATAAGAGGTCTTCTCACCTCACTCTTAATGAATCCTTTGGATATGATGAATTGATTTCTATTGTACTAAATGGTCCTAAGTCTACTAGTTTTTTGACTGGTGCTTTGAATGCAGGCATTGATTTCTTGGAATTCAGGTCTTCTGAAATTGCAGCAGCAGTGGCAATATATGTTTCAAAGGAAATGCAAGCTAATGACATTGGCAAGGCAATGCCTTGTTTCATACATGTACAAAAGGTAAAATTTGTGGGGGCGGCCCACTTAAATACCGTCAAACCTCTCTATAACAACTGTCACTTGTTCTTATTAGTATAACATAACATGAAAAAGTCTTTCATTATACTAAAATGTTGTTATAAAGGATGATTAGATTCTTCAGGCAATAACTTATAACAACTTGGTTTATGTGGGGTTCTCTTTTGTTAAAAAAAATAAAATTTCTTGGATTTTGCAGGGCAGAGTGATGAAGTGTCTTGAACTGATTCAAGATTTGACATTGGTTAGTGGGACTATGACCACTGCTACAACTATTACTACTACTGCCTCAGTACCTAAAAGTCCCAATGGAGTGTTAGAAGCTGCATGTTTGAGCTACAAAAGTGATGAGAGCATAGTTGGATCACAAACAAGTCCAGAAAATAAAAGGAGGAAACTTGACACATCTTTAGAGGAGGGGACTTGACAAAAGTTATGAATCTTGAAATTCCATCCCCACGCCCACCCCCTTACCCCCCCCCCCCCCCCTCCAAACAATTTTGGCTAAATGGGAGAATTTGTGTGGTTATGCAAAAAAATAAGTCCTTTGAAGACAAAAGACAAGGAAGGATTGTCACAAGATGTTAATAACAATTTTGAAATGTCAAACAACAATAGTAGTAGTAGTAATAGGAGGTTGTGGAGGGGTAAAGATGGAATTTTGAGAAGGGCTATCTATTATATACTTTTTGCTCTTATGCCTTTTTTGGGTTACTATTGTAATTTCAAATAAAGACATATACAATGGGAAAAAAAAGTAAGGAATAAAAGGTAGTTGGAGGCTAAGTGGATTATAGTAATAATTAGTTCTATTTATAGTGGAGATGAAATGCATTTACATGGTGCTCCATATATCCATTTTTTCTTGGAATTAAGTAAAATAGGTGTTAAGGAAAAGATAAATCCTAATACTAATTCAAGAAGGCATTTTAAACTTGAATTGTTTCTATGCTTATAATGGTATCAATGTCTTGTTCAAACCAAAAGTCTTGTCTAAACATAAATATATAATTTCCTTTATTCAAAAAACATTCACATTTTTCTATGTTTTGCAAATTCTTTGATTCTAAAATTATTGCTGCACACTTAAAAATGACATGACATGTGCAAGGTCACAAATTTTCATTGTATTTTGAAATGTTGAACATTTATGTTGTGTTTAAAAGTTTTTCTTAAACATTATTATAGAAATTACATGACTTGTGTATATGTATAAATAGTAATATTGTAATAATTCGATCCGTCGTTACTTAAGGGCATCTCGTGCAGAATTCTAAAATTCTAAAAATACAATGCCAAATTTGAAAAATTGAGCACAAAATGAAATTAATTTACTTGAATGAGCTAGGCTCACGTCAACCCGCTCTAGCACGCTGAGGGGAAACTAGAGCCTAATTATACGACTTCTTTTATTGTTCCTCGCACTTTTGAAGGAAAAAAATAGACGAAGGCTGCTTCAAAAATCCTCCAAAGGCACCCGCGGAAAGGGAGTAATGAAGTGCGCGGGGGGAGGGGGGGGGAGATTACAACACAAAGAAGGCAAAAATTCAAAGAATTCCTATCCTCGTTTATCACGGTTTTCTCTCACAAAATCGAAAACTCATAGGCAAGGTTCATTAGATGATGCTAAGCGACCATGTAGGCTAGATTTTCTTGAAGTGGATAGTTAGACCTGTTTTTACTACATGATATCTTGCGGATTCTCAAAGATTGCATGAATAGGCCTTTGGAAGAGGAGTCTAAACAGTTAAGCTTGTGGCTAAGGTGGTTAGGTTGTGGCTGTTAGCTAATGGTGATTGCTCCATAGTATGATTGGGTGTTGCCTAGGAGAATTGTGGCTAGTTTAATGATCAGGTTATAGTCTAGAGATTATTTTTCAGTAGGTTATGGGTGTATGTTTTCTAAATTATGTGTGTATGCATGTCTACTGCTTTATAGTATCACTAATGTGATGCATGTTGAAAAAACATAAGGAAGAATATGAAATATCATCATGTTGATAATCTCACGCAATGATTATGTATGTTATTTGTGATTGGTTGTTGATTCAGATACCACACCCGGTACAAAAGTATTACCAGTTGACTTGGATACTACGCCTGATATGAATACTAAGATTGATTGACTCGGGTACTGCACGGATAGACTAACAGTTTATGTGTGAATTTCATGGGTGAATGAAATTTACCTTTGTATAATGTGATGTATGGATGTTGGATCCTTGAGTGGTCTAATTTACTTGAAAAATGAGTTGGACTCATGTATGAATTTATGTATGATCATGTGGGACATGTTTCATGTGAACGTTAATTCTGGGTGAGGACTGAGAGTCTAAGTTGTGTTATGATTGTGATTTTAATTGCAAGTTATCTGTTTTACTAAGTTGTGATTACTAGATCAGCTTGATGACTAAAGTCTGGTGCACAATTTAAATGTTAGGACTGGATACGGTGATTCGGTGTTTAGAGCGTATCTGGTAAAAGGGATTTGAGGCAAGACAATTTAGTCTTGTATGTGGTTTATTAGAATAGGTCAAGGGCCAGGAGTTGGCATGAGAATTTGTGGAAGATTAGTAGGTTGGTTAATAGAGTGGGTGGTGGTCGTGTATCCATAAAGTCTCTATGTAACAAAGGGGTTAGGTTATGATATGATATCAGGTGGTGTAAAGGGTAGGTTTGAGAAGCCTTACGAAAACCAAAATGATGTAGTTGGCAGCGAAAGAAGGCGGGGTGACTTAAGAGAAAATGTATAAGTTTCACGAAGTAGTCTATATTAAGCATGCAAAAAGGGTGTTTCGGGGTCTTAATTTGTAATTAAGTTTCATGTTTCCTGATTATTTGTATTATACTATGTGGTAGGTTCAGATAGGTCGATGATGCCTATCAATATGCGTTGTTTGTACTGATACTATTCTTGCTATGCTAGTTGGCATAGTTCGATTGCAGGATTCAACGATGTTCCACATGTGAAGATGGTGATGATCTCCAACAACTTCTACTCTCCTTTCCTTATGGTGGGAGGCGTGTCGTGTTTCCTTTCGGTCATTATATCTTCTTAGTCGTCCTTGTATTTGCTTAGACTAGTTCCTTGGGAAGTAGTAGTGATCTCTTTTCTAAATAACTTGAGGGTTTTTGTATATCAATTTATTGTATTTTTCTATCTACTTAGGGTATTAGATTATGTTTTAAATTTATATTTTGCATGTTAGGATCGTTTTGGGTGTTGAGAGTTCTCCTATCTAAGTGTTAGAGTAGGTGTCCGCACGACCTAGTGGGTTAGACCATGACAAATATCATTCATTTAAAAAATTTAATCCATCTTTTTTTTATCATTTTAATTGACGTAGACTCCAATTCTCCAATAAAATAAGGATATTATATTAGATAGTCGGAATGATTTGAGCAGCATAATTTTTTTTATAAAAATAATACTTCTAATTACTTTTCGATCCTAACTTTAGAAAATAGTCATTATTATAGAGTATAACAATGCACCAAATATAATTTTATATATAGAATCTGAAAAACTAGAATGTACACATATTTTATCTTTATTATAGTTGGATAGAAATATTATTTTTAATAAATTTTTGACACAATGACACATTATCAAAATAAATTAAATATATATTGTGGAAAACAGGAAATGTAATAGTGTGAGTGTAAGTGTGACTGGTCAAAATCTTGGAATTGCTCATTGACACTCTGACATAAAACAAGGCATTTTTGAAGCATAAAAAGAAACCTTGGGAATATAATGCAATAAAAATAGGTGTCATGGGCAACTGTCAGTGTGGTATTATATGTTTTTCATTGTTTGCTTATGTGAATGATTTCTCATATTGACTTATCACACGTGGTGCTCATTGTTAATATTTTACTAATATTTACAAAGCAGAGTTTCGAAACAACGATAAAAAATTGTCTTCATAAATTATGAAATTAATTAAAGCTCGAGTCTGATAAGTAGTATTGTAATTGCACATATGACGTGAACGACAACATCTAAAATTTTGAATATGTAAGAAACTAATACTTTTATTTATTGAAAAAGGATTTAAAATGTCTTTAAAATAATTGAAATTGAACATAAATGTCATCCAATAGAAATTTGGTTCAAAATGCCCCTAAATTTAATTAATTGGGTGAACAATGCCATTTTCCTAATAAACGTATTATTATTTTTCTTCTTAAACATATTTTTTTCTACTAAAAATATTATTTTTTAAAGAACGATTTTCTTATAAAATCTATTTAACTAATAATAAGTTGAAGTATGTTTTTTCTTAATCTCAATTTATCGATTCAAATAGAATGTTTCTCATATATTTTCTTAATTGATAATATGTGTCATATATACAAGATTATAGTAACCATCATTAATCTTCATTTCGATAACGACTAAAAGTATTTTCAAACAAAATAGAAAATATTTTTTATTCTTAATCTTTTTTGAAATTGATTAAGAATAAACCTTTGCTTATATAATCCTTGATTTCACACCTAACATACAACAATTATAATGTAATGAAACACAAAAAATCATAACATTGCTTTAAAATACAAAATATCTTTAATAAAAATACAATTGACCCTTTATATTTAAATTTTTAAATCAAGGAATATATTAGTTAATGTTTATCCTAATTCAATTTGGAAAAGGTTAAGAATAATTTTTTTACTATTTTATTAGAAAAAAGAATTTCATCGCATCTAAATGTAAATTAATGAAGGGGCTACTACAATCTTATATATATGGGATTTGGCACCCCTCCATTTCGTCAAGTGCACGTCTAGATTAGAGACATGTGTCATATTTAAAGTTTAAAAGTCAAGATTGTATTATAATAACAAATATCATAACCATAGTTAAGTCAACTAATTCTAGAAAACTACTCTCCAAATTTGGTAAGGATTACAATATATTTTATACAAAATTTGATATTTATTAATATCATTAATTTCATATTATATTTTTGTAGTTAAATATTAAATTGTAAATTTCTAGTTTTAAACCAATTATTTTTAAAAATCATAAGAGATTGTTATTGTGCGTTCTTCTGATTACTTCTGATCAATTCCAATGTTCTCCTTTTTTTTTGGGATCATTTTCAGCTTATTTAATTCTACTAAACAATTGCTAGACCGGAAAATGATTTTTTTTGTCTATTGCTACAGTACATTTTTCAAAAAATAAATAAATTAAATAATTGGAGTGGATTAGTAAGATAAATAAAATAGATCATATCTTCTTATTTCTTATAATAAAATAGTTTAATATAAAATTAGAACAAAAAAAACATTTAAATTGATTGGGTGACTTTTTAAGTGAAATATCAATAGTTGAGTGACTTTCTAAGTAAAATATCAATAGTTGAGTGACTTTTGAGCTATAATTATTAATTTCATATTATATTTTTGTATTTAAATATTAAATTGTAAATTAAAAATATAAGATGAAATTAAAGATATTACTCCAATAAATATCAAATTTTGTATGGAATATATTGTAATTTTTACCAAATTTGGAGAATAGTTTTCTA